GACTGTCCCAGAGCCCAATAAGAGGATAGCTACGAATAAAGGTTGGATATATGATAATAACATCGATGTAGCGATAAAAATACTAAACAAAAATGTGTGCATTAATAAAATAGTAAAAAAAGAGGGGTATGTAACAATAAAAATCGACAAAATAACCTTAATAGCATGCTATATTTCTCCAAATATTACTAGAGACTGTATATAACAATATTACTGTTCTTTGTAACGAACACACGGAAAATATAATCGACACATTTTCTAGTACCCGGAGACATAAACGCAAAATCCATTCTATGGGGAACCCCCCGAAATGACGAGAGGGGTGAAATTTGGAATGAGTGGATCTCCGCAGCGGACCTCATAGTGTTAAACAATGGAAAACCAACCTTTGTGAGAGGTACATCAAAAAGTCACATAGATGTCACCATAGCTAGCAATGGTGTTGCCAATAAGATCAGGGATTGGGATGTACTAGATGAGGACCTTTTCACCTTCCATTGGTACATCACGTACGAAATTGGTACCAAGGTCAGAAAATATGACAGGAAGAGAACAATATTCGATAAAGAAAAAATTAAAAGAGAAATAAATAACCTACAAGAAGAAACTACCAACTTTAATGAGTTACGAGGAGATATCATAAACGCACATAGAAGAAGTACCATAAATAGGCACACCACATATACAGTACCTTACTGGTGGAATGACCAGATCCAAAATAAGCGAGAGGAATGCTTAATACGCAAGCGTATAGCACAAAGACACAGGAACCAAGAAGAACATAAGGAGGCATATAAGAGCGCCAAAAAAGAATTAAGTATTGAAATTAAAAGGGCCAAACGCATATGTTGGCAGGATTTGTGTACTGCGCTGGAAGAAGACATATGGGGTGAAGCTTATAAGATTGCCATGAAAAGCCTAAGGTTCGAGACCACATACATCCTTAGTACAAAAAGAAAGATGGAAATAGCGAGCACCCTATTTCCAAGCAAGCCCGACAACACATTCCTACAGATAGACAACAATCTTACACCTGCAGAGTTCACTACTGAAGAGATTATACAAGCAGCAGAAAGTATAAAGGCAGGAAAAGCACCAGGCCCGGATAAAGTAACGCCAGAAGCAATAAAACTGGTAGTAAAAGAGAAACCCTAACTGATGCGCAGAATATTCAATGAACTGTTGAATACGCAAGAGTTCCCAGATAAACTGAAATTGGCGAGACTCGTATTATTACCAAAACCCAGAAAGAACCCGGATGAAGCCATTCATATAGACCTCTGTGCTTACTAGATTGCATAGGAAACTTCTATGAAAGCCTTATAAAGAAACGTCTGGAAGAAGAGCTCGAAGTGCTGGGAAAAATTTCAGATAGATAATACGGTTTTGGAACAGCCAGATCGGCTATAGATGCGGTGAAGAAGATCTCTGATACTGTAAAAAGATCGGAAAAATGATGGGCCATTCTCCTGATGTTCGACGTGAAGAACGCCTTCAACTCTGCAAATTGGCATCACATACTAACGAAGCTCGAAGAAGCAGGAGTGTCAGAATACATTATAAATATTATAAATAAATATCTGATAAACAGATACTTGAATATAGCACATAATGCAGACTTGAAATTCTCATCAGGAGTACCTCAAGGGTCCGTTATGGGACCTACCCTATGGAATGTACTGTACAACGGGGTATTAGAAATAGACTGTGGTCAGGACATCTACGCCATAGCATATGCAGACGACCTTGCAATCCTAATAGAAGCTAACTTAAATAGGGATATTGAAGATAAAGTGACAAGTTGTTACAGAAAAGTCAACAGGTGGATGATGGAGAATGACCTAGAGTTGGCAAGTAGTAAAACAGATATAGTAGTACTAAAGGGGCCAAGACAGAGACCAACTTTGAGTTTTGATTTAAATGGTAGTATTATAGAACCGAATAACTGTGCTAAATATCTGGGCATACACCTTGATTCGGGTTTGAGATACACGAAACACCTTATAAATGTAGTTCAGAACTTTGACGTGTTGAGTTTCAAAAAACATAAGGAATTATTAACAAGAGCTCAAAGAAAACCCCTCTTGAAAGTAGTAAGTGCCTACCGGACTACATCAACGATAGCCCTACAGGTGATTGCGGATACGCTCCCTATCCACCTTCTAGCGAAGGAACGTAAGATCATTTTTTACGACAGTATAAACGGCCACCTAATAGGGGTCAAAGTCAAGGTAAGGGAACAAATGCTAAACGAATGGCAACAAGAATGGGAGACACAGACATAAAAAGCACAGTGGATGAAGAAACTAATTCCAGACGTGAATCAGTGGTATCAATGTAGGTTTAAAAGAACAAATTACTTTTTTACTCAATTCCTGACCGGACACGGCGCTTTCAGGTCCTACACATATCGCATAAGGAAAACTGAAGATGACTTATGTATAGAATGCGGAGTATGCGACGACGCAGAGCATTGTGTATTACATTGCAACGTTTTCCAAGATAAACAACAAGATATGAGAGCAAAACTAGGAGAGACAACACCAGAGACTATAATGAATGTAGCCATGCAAAGCAGAGATAACTTCAACATGATAGTAGACCTAATAACAGATAATAAATAGAGAGAGATAATAGATAATAAGAGAATAAACGAATCGAGCTTAGACAAGGAAAGACAGATGAAACAACGTATTACAAGTGTTTTTACACGCACACGCCAAGAAAGATGAAAACGTCTATATACACTTTTATCTCTACACTGTTTCACGAAAACAGACATGTTCATTTTATCTGACTTTATTCTAGTTATTTACACTTATGTTTCATTTAATATTAATTTTTCCCATACTTTTTATTGTATATAGTACTCAATGTTTTAACTGATGTTTTTACTTATGGAACTAATTAAAAGAATGACTACTCCTCACAGTCGGCTTCTCTGACATGGAGTAGAGATAGGGACAGCAGCGGGACAACCGAAGTAGCATTTGCTAAAAATACGTACCGGGTGCCCGCGGCTGGAACGAGGGGGTTTTAGTGGGTAGGCAGTTGCGTTCACACAATTGATTCGCTCGGCATTATGGGTGTCTGAATTAAAGCGGACTGAATCCCATACACCGGGGTAGAGGGCAGCACACCAGCTCCTTGGGGTGCTGAGGTCTACTCCGACGGTCTTTTGAAGATTTTCTCCTCAAAAAAAAATTTATACCAGTACCTGGCAATTAGTTAAATTGCAAAGTTTGTGTTTTGAGGACGATTAGAAAATGGATACTTCACGATATAAATCTTATTAAATTTCTTGTAAAATTAGTTATCGAAAAAAATAAATCTGGTTATATTGTTTTCTAAGAATTAATTTACAAGATATATTGTATAGTTTTATTTAAAATTTATTTTTTGCACAGTTATCACAAATTTGTTCACAGATGTGTACATTAGGTTTTAATGCCATATTTAAAATTTTTTTCTGAAATTTCATTTGAAATAAATCTACCTTTTTTGTTAAATATTTAGACGCTGTAGAATATTTTTTATATTAGATACTTTTTCTAGAATAAACACTTTTTAGCGAAAAATGTTTCTTTTTTTATTACCTTTAATACAATGACGAGTAAAATGTACGCGCGCATATTAATGTAGTGTTGTATGAACCAACAGTCACATATGTGTACTTTTTTTTTTCTTAAATGTAATTATTTCATTGTGTGGAAAAATAAAAGGAAATACAAAAATTGAATTGGTTAAAATCAAAACAGGAGAAACAATAACTGATAAAAAAGAAATTGCAAATGAATTCAATACACATTCCAGTACATTATAACATAACTGAAATTTCATTCGAAATAAATCTACCTTTTTTAATATTTAGACGCTGTAGAATCTTTTTTATATTACTTTTTCTAGAATAAACACTATTTAGCGAAAAATGTTTCTTTTTTATTACCTCTAATATAATTACAAGTAAAATGTACGCATGTTAATAATATAATGCTGTATAAACCCAACGGTCACATATGTGTACATATTTTTTTATATTTAAGAAAAAAACCTTGGTAAAAATTGTTTGGATAATATATTTGGAAGTCATTCAGATCAGAAATTAATAAAATAACTCTCGGATTGCTCGGATTAATTTTGCATAAGCTCGGGTTTAACGAGGATATATCAATCGTCGAACGGACCGAATAGTTAATTATGTCTTATATCACTTCCTGTATATAAATCATTTTAAGATCAAAAAACAAAACAAAAAAATGGTAAAATGAGAAAGAACCGTAGCATTATACAATATAGACAGCCAGTCGAATTTACGCAAGAAGAAGAGATCTAATCAATGAGCTGAAGTTGTAAATGACTGCCTCGTTACACAGATGCCGCAGTTATGTGAGTATCTGTAGATCTCCAAATTTTTACCAAATCGAACCACAAATAAATTTTTGAGCTGGTAATAAAAATGTAGTGTATTATACTAGTACTACAACTAGTGCAAAATTAAAATTATATGTACAACTAAAACGCAGATTATGGTAATACATATATAATGTATTTGTTACTAAAGCTTGTTTACATTCAGCATGTTTACATTATAAAAAAATAATATAAAATAATATAAAAAAAAATAATAGCACAGAATAATAATTGTTTATTATTCTGTGACATTAGTTTACCTGCTTACTTTTAACATTCTTTGTAAACATGAAATAAATATAATATTATATTTCGGTTTCTACCGTCTACATTTAGAACAATTTCCTAACTCTACGCTTTTCAAGGCAAACTAATTTCAAATCCTTTAAATGATTTATGCCTTTGTTACACTATTAGATGGAACAAATTATTTGGAAAGAGTTTGGTAACTTTAAAACTTTAAAACGCTAACATTATACGTCAAATCGATATAAGTTTATTTAACATTTCATACGCCTTTGCAAAGATAGCACTTGTATAATCATGGAAGCGTGGCACCAGTGTATAGTTTTTTAAGTTGTCAAAGTATTTTTGTAAGTGTTTACTGCTGATTTACTGTCATATAAGAATAATATAATAAGGAACATAAAAATAAATAAAATAAGTTATATTACAGAGAAATAATACAAGACATTATTTAAAATGACTGTTAATGAGAATACTGAAGATGACCCAGAGCAAATTGCTGGATCAAATTCAGATTTAGCTGAAAGTGAAAAAGCTGTTCTACTAACATTCATTCAGGAAATCCAAGAAAAACTTGCCCAGAAAAAAGAACTAAGAGCTAAAAACACAAATGCCTCGAGCAACAGACCTAGTGACTCATCTTTTAGTAAACTAGATTCAAGTTTGAAGAAAAATACAGCATTTGTTAAAAAAATTAAGAACTTTTCTTCATCATGTGTAGAAGGCTACCTTAAGGATATGGCTGGTTTGAATTTATCTAAATACATATCAGAAATTGCAGCCGCAATAGTTGACTCAAAACTTAAAATGAGTGATGCTCCAGCTGCAGTAAAGCTATGTAGTGTTTTACACCAAACCTATGCTGATTTCTCACAACATCTTTTCGAAAACTGGCAGAAAATTTTAGCTATTAAGGTTGGAGACAAAATTCCCAACCCCAGTAAATTACGTGTTGATTTAAGATTTTATGCTGATCTGTTACAAGCAGGAATATTTTCAAATAAGAATGCTCTATCACTACTCGGCTCTGTTTTAACAACTTTGATCAACATGGATAAAGAGGAACATTTCAATATTGCTATTATTTTGAGTTTTTGTAGACATTGTGGAGATGATTATGCAGGTATGTTTTTATATGATAACCAAGTTTTATAGGAATCAAAATACATACAGAGTACTAGTACTTTTCGGTATTTGTAATTGGTTATAAGCGAAAACTGTAGTATAGTTTATATATGAATTATTATGTGTATGTAGTTAATAACCCTAGAGGGGAATGAAAAATCAATAAAATAAATATAAGAATGATGTTAGCAAGCGGTGTAGGTAGGTACCACCTAAAACAACATATATACCTTACCAATCTGTCTAAAAAATCAAATTAATTGACTGTCATTAGAATCCCTATGTTTGCATCACTAATGGAAACAATATACTGGATATAAAAACACATATCAAATTAGCAAAATTTGTATTAAGTAACATGTTAATTCCAAAATCATTGACATGCTCTTTTTGTCTCAGACCAAATGTACTGTGGCCACATTTGAATACAATTATACTGTGAGTGAAATTGGTATGAATGGTCTGTAGTAGGTAAAAACATGTGCAACAGGCTGGTGCACATGAGGCTAAACATATTAATATATATCTTTAGCTTAGGATGGAACCCATACAAAAACTAGATTTTGCAGACTGTATCTGACTTTGTAGGCTCTTTTAATATTCAGCGAGGTAATTCTCTATATTCCTCATTAAAATTTAACTTTACAAGAATTTCACCATCAGGAGTATATTTAGTACATTTGATGTTAGTTACCAAGGTGTCTCCTGCCTTAGACCATGGCCTTAATGATGAAAGATTATTTAAACTGCTAATTTAAAAAAAATGTTAAATTTAATGTTCCAATATAACAGGGTTTAGGATTTGTTCTAGCTGTCTTAAAGTTGTCTTCTCAATAATTGTGTCATCAGCAGACATTGCCAGCTTATGTATTAATGCTGGCCCAGAAAGCCTTGGTAGATGATTGATTGTTCAGCAATCTCCTCTAACTCCTACTTAGGTTTCTTTTTATCTTTTAAATTGGCCATTATTCTTCTAAAAACTAGGCACTGCAAAAATAACACTTAAGGTACACTTAACCAAGTGGAAAGTTAAAAGTGACTACTAAGTACATATAAGCTATGTACTTGGTATCATAGGGGAATAGCTGTAGGGTGAGGTTGCTGTGTCCTCCTGTCTTTCTGAGAATTAATTAAACAGTTTGATTTGTTTCAAAATTGACCCCGCCATACCAATTAAGGGTTAACTAGTTTTTTGGAAAAGTGTTTGTTATTGTAACTGGTCATACATTTGGCAGCCATTTGGATTATTGTAGTATCTTCCATTTGTGTAACCTTCTGGCTCAGGTTTTAGTATTAACAACTACTTACTTAGCCAGGCCCAATGGCTTTGTGTCTCAGTTGGATTAGAAATTGGTAAATTGTTTGTGTATGCCAGGATTGAACATGGATCTTCTGGCTTGGTAAACCAGCACCTAGTCACTGAACTATAACCTCTATGTCAACTATTAGCTAGTAGTTATGGTTTCATATGATTTTATTCATTTTGTTGTTGTGTTCTGTTTAAAGCTTCTCTTGATATTTTGGTAACAGATCGCAATAAAACCTCATCAAATTTGTGTTTCTAAAAATTAAATATTATATTTTTTTATTCTGTTTACCATTTTTTATTAACAATATTATGTTGTCTCTAATGTTTGATATTTTTTAGGACTTGTACCTCGAAAGATGAAAGAATTTTCTACCAAATACAATATGGAAATACCAAAAAGTGCATTTCTACCTTCTGAGAAGCAACAAAATGTTAGAGCTTTACTAAAAGACTACTATGTTTCACTTTGTAAACATTTGGTAAAAGATCACATTGAGATGCAAAATTTTGAGAGGCAGAACATGAGAATACTTCAGACCAAAGGAGAGTTAAGTCAAGAAAGAAAGGAAAAACTTGAACAATTGCAATCAGCATATGAAAAGTTGTTAGCTAATACTCAAAATTTTTCTGATATATTAGATGAAGATATGCCTACATTAAGAACACAAAACTTGCCAAAGGGAGATGAAGTAAGTAGTCAAAATAACTGTATTTCAAAATCAATAATTAGGCAAACATAAACCAATCATTTGAATGCCCCATATTTTGGATAAGAAAACCATTTTATGTTGTTCCTTTCTAAATATTGATTTATGACCAAATATTGACTATCTTTGTACTATCTACTTGATGGAAAAGCTCTGTAGTATCTGACCCCATGTCCTCAGGTTGTAAACCAGGACATTCTTTTTCTTAAAGGACTCCTTCTTCCATGTATTTTCCGTTGCATTCATAGTTTTAACATTTCATAAATTTGTTTTCATTAGCATTACATGACCTATAAATCTGATATAACATATCTGGTTTTAAACGCCACATGTTTCTATGAGTGCTTCTGGCTACCATTAACATTGGTTATTTTTATTGGTTATTCGTTCTATTTGCTGATTCCAAGTAAGCCTCGAATCTAATATTACCTCAAGATACTTTACTTCACTCATCAGATTTAAATATGTACCATTTAGTCTTAGAGGAGCTAAAAAACTATAGAGGAATTAGTATAAGATCGTCAGTAGGTAGACTTTACAGGAAAATTATCAAGGAAAAACTAGAAACTGAAATAATAGGAAAAATTGGAGAAGACCAAGCAGGGTTCACAGTAGGAAAATCATGCCTAGATTATACATACACATTAGAACAACTGATAGAGAAGAAAATGGCAAAAGATAGACCGGTCCATCTGGTCCGGTCCTTTCCAAAGAAAGCATATGACTCAATACCTAGAGTCAAATTATGGGAAGCAATGAATGATCTTGGAATCCGACAAACACTAATAAAAGCAGTTAAAGCACTGTACAAAGAAAACAAAGTAGCTATTAAATATGGAAATAAAGCCTACAATCCATTTAAGACGACAAAAGAACTTCTACAAGGCTGTGCTACGTCCCTACCCTGTTTAAAATATTCTTGGAAAAGACACTCAAACCATAAAGGAGAAAGTGTGAAGGAATAGGCATACCAGTAAGAGACGAATACCTATACACCTTAAGTTTTGCCGACGATCAAGTAGTCATCGCACAAGATGAAGAGGATCTCAGCTTTATGCTCAGAAAACTAGAAGAAGAATATAAAAACAACGGAATGGAAATAAACTTAGAGAAAACCGAATACCTAACAACAGAAAACAAGGATATGAGAAACCTAGAGATAGACGAGGGAAGACAAGTAAATGGAACAGATAATTCAAGTAAGGAATCATAATATCGAACCAGGGAACAACAGAAGAAGATATAAACAACAGGCTAAGACAAACAAGAAACTGTATAAGACAACTAAATTCAGTGCTTTGGGATAACAATATTACGATAAAGACAAAAACGAGAATATATAATACCCTGACAAGAAGTATCCTGACATATGGGTCCGAAAACTGGACAATAAACAAGAGAAATAGAGGTAGAAATGGAGTTCCTGAGGAGAAGGTGTAGACTTACAAAAAGAGACAGAATTGAAAACGCAGAGATTAAGCTGAGAATGGGAGTGCAATCAGATATAATCGACTATATAGAGGAGAAGAGACTATCCTGGTACGGCCACGTCAGAAGAGCGGACAGAGGACGCTGGATAAACAAAATCACAGAATGGAGCCCGATCGGAAGAAGAAAGAGAGGAAGGCCCCGAAGGTCATTCAGAGACGAAATCGACGAGGCTATGGAAAAAAGAACCCTGCGAGATGGAGACTGGAATGACAGGGAAAATTGGAGAAAACGGTTGAGTGAAGGAAGACAGTGAAAACTGTGGAAATCCTTAGTAGTAGAAGTAGTCTTAGAAGACCCAATACCTCTAAATACCTTTTTTTGGTAAATTTCATAACTGTGGATTTGTGAGGGGTTATGTTAAGTTCTATATTTGAAGTCCATTCTGTAATTATAGTCAGAGTCTATGTATTCTGTCTCTGAATGTGCTATTAAATATGCCGTAGGCTAAGATGACTAGGTCATACTCGTAGCCCAGGATATGATGCATGTTGTTACTGAGTCTAGTTTATCCATGACCAGATTCCGCAAGGGAAGAGATCAAGAGAAGAGATAAAACTCAACTTTGTAGATAGTCTCTGACTATTTGTGCTCACACTGTATTCCCCAGCAACGTTGCGTATATCACAAGTCTCCTCAGCATACTTTGACAATTAAGAGATATCATAGATGTCACCATTTCCGTTTTTAATATTTATTTCTCTTTTTAGAACATGATCGTAACTGGTTCAGGTACTGATTTAGAAGATGGAACCGGTAACGTAGAAAATATATGGTGTGATATAGAAACTCAAAAGTTTTACTGTGATTTGCCAGAACTGACTGTATTTCTTCCTACAGCATTTTTAAACAAAGGGCAGACTCCTCCTCCAGCTGAAACTGCCGTGACGGAAGAAGTTTTGGATAGCGATTTACCTGTAGAGGAATTGGAAGACGATAGTAAGTCATTGAAAGAATTTTTAGTTTATTGCTGTATTACCATATATTTTCGAATGTATAGTTTTAGAAACAAATATAGAAAGATATACTCGCTTCGCTGATCCTCAGTATAATTAATTAGAATTTGCAAATGGAAAGTTTTTAATTAGAATCAATGATTATTGTTCTCCCCATTTCATGATTATTTTTCTTTTTTCAATAAAAGAAGTCTGCAACAGTAAATTTATTTGGGCTATTAATAGTAAGAGGTAGAAATTGTTCTGCTATATGTTTCCGACAATGAATCTGTCAAAATATTCACAAGCTGAGCGAATGATATATAGTTACATAATAAAAATTACGCAGAGTATACTTAAGTATCCAAACCACAAATAAAGTATCAGGAAGTTTAAAGTAAAGACTTTCATTCTATGCATTACCTCTGTTCGGTTTATAGGTGTTTCTGCACTATTCAGCTAGTTTCAACACATAACATTCCTATGATGAAAGCATATTTGCTAAATATCTTTAAATATAAGGCTCAGCATTCAAGGTTTGCCCTCGAACTAAGGCTAACATGTGCTGTTGAATTCTCATCCATAGAAATCCATCAGCAAATTTTGGTTTTGCTTTAAATTTAACTTTGTATATTTTTGAATATCAGAGGTGCAAAATCTATTGCTGTCTTTTATTTCAGAATGTGCTTTTAATGTTTCTCATCATCTACTACAATGGTATATGTATATATGGTATGCATATGTATATATGGTTTAGTTAAATCATATGAGGAACATAGTTCAAAAAGATTCTGAAAATGTTTCCTTGTGGCATGTCTAAGTTATATAAATTAAACCTCAATTAATTGTAGAAAATGAGAATGGAAATAAATAACAAGAGAAGTAAATCAATGATATTTTAAATACTAAAATGAATATAATTATTCTTAAAGCTAAGATTAATACTATTACAGGAATTAATATTAAACCTAACAGTCTTCCGGGTTGAACCGCGTCGATTATCATTGCGCCGAGCTTTCGATATCCACTTCGATGTCTTCTTCAGGCTTCCGAGGTCTCAGTCTCCCGAGCCCCCAGATACTACTACACTGATCACTAATCAATGCATTACTGGTGCTGGGAATAGAGGACGGGTCATTTATACCGCCGATGGTAACATGGCTAGGGTGGAGGTTGGCGTGGGGACCAGCGTGGTGATTGGCACAAGGGGTGGGTGCGAACATTTTTGACAGTAGGATTTTGGTTGACGGGTGGAGAGGTCTCCAAGTCGAAGGTAACCGTATGCCGTCATCTCTTTTATTGAGACAATTTGGCCTTTTTCAATTTCTATGGCTTTTCAGATAATTCTTGGTTTATAGAAGCGGATGGTGGCTATGATTCTGGGGTTTTCAAAATCAATTTTATGACCTGTATGAAGATGGTGTTGACCTAGAGCTGAAATTGTGTCGGAATTGCGAACATAAATGGAATGTTCATAAATTCTATTTTGAATTCTACGATTTGTTTGGCCTGTATAGGATCGAGGCAGTCTGCACAAGGAATTTCATAAACTCCGTGTTGTTCATTTGGAATGTTGTATTTGCTTGATCAGACAAGAGGAGAAAGTTTTTGTAGGGGGGTAAATGTTGTCTTTATTCCTCTTAATTTTAGAATGTTGTCGAGTACAACTACTTGGCCAATGGTTGTGTAGGGCAGTTGTATGCACCGACAATGGGACATAGAGTAATATCGGGTTTGTGAATTTTGGTTAGGCTATATATTCGAGGTGTTCTGGAAGACTTTTCACACTTTATAAAAGTTTCATAAAAATTACACAGGTTAGGGAGGTTATTCCAAGTTCAAATGAAATCAATTGTTTTTTTAGACTCCAACACAGATCATAGATAATGTAAGTCGATAAAACCTCACCAGCTACGGGGGGTCATATAAGATGCCCCCATTTTCATTTTTTATTAATACACAATTTAAGAGTCTATTGCATTTACCTTTATAAATAATATGAATATTATTTTTTAAATCCAGATGTCCATCGAATGTTTTTTATGTGGCCACACAATGTGTTTTCAACAACTTTTTATGTAAGTAGTAAAAAACCAACTTGTTCTTTTTGTATATTTAAATTTTAACTTTCTTTTTTTAATATTGGTATTTTTACTCTCTCTTTTAGTAAACTGATGATGGAATGATACAATTCCGAAAAGATCTTCTTTATAATAAAAAAATTTTAAGCTTTTAATAAGCGCTTTTTTTATACCTTAATACACACGAACACCACGTGCTTTGTATTCAACAAGTATACTAGCCACTCCTGGATATCTCCACTTCATGGTTTGTTCCAGTTTCACTTTTTAAAAATTGTTTTTTTTTTAATATTAGGATTGAGGAAACTTTGTTGACGATTGATTAACATACATGGTGCTCCATTTAAAATAAGTCATATTACACATTGAATAATCCAATAATGAGTATGTAAATTTTGAACACTATGTAAGGAGATGTTTAATAATCAATCATGAAATACATTCAACGAATATCCAACTATTTAGATGTAGTATCAAATTTGGTATAATTGCTTAAATAAGTTGAGAATTACTCTTCTTTTACATTTTAAGAAAAGACGAGATAACTCTGTACTCTGTACTTAGGTATGTGGGACCCATATGAAACTGTACCTTATTTTTTGCGGACAATTAGAAAATATAGTAAAATACAAGGTGTCCCATAAGAAAAAATATAACTTTGATACGCCGCAATTTATTGTGACACCGTTTATATTTTAAAATAATTTTAAAATGAAGCTTTTATCAACTTACAAACTATTAGTGCAATTTTTTTTAATCTTTTACCCTTTCACTGTAGTCTTCCATCCTGTTGGTGGTGACTCATCCTTTATGTCCAAAAAATGTAGAAATGCATTTCTATTGTATTTATCGCTTCCTCTCTCTTTTACATAGTTCTGTCGAATCAAAATGTAAATATTTCTTCTTCTCATGGCGCCGTCTCCTTTCGAAGGTTGGCGATCCAAATGGCAATTGTGGTTTTGGAAACTACTGCGCGAAAGATTTCTGCGGATGAGCGGTCGAACCATCTCCTTAGGTCTTTCAGCCATGAGTTCTGGCGTCTTCCTACTGATCTTTTGCCTTGTACTTTTCCTTCCAGTATAACTTGAAGTAATTCATATTTTTCGCCTCTCAACACATGACCCAAGTATTGCATTTTCCTCTCTTTGATTATACTTAGTATTACTTTCTGTTTACATATTCGACGAAGTACCTCAACATTAGTAACTCTTTGTACCCATGGAATTCTCAACATTCGTCTGTATATATACATCTCAAAGGCATCTATTTTTTTTTCTATTTCATTGTCCAACTTTCACAGCCATACAGTAAGACAGAAAAAACGTAACATCTGATCATTTGGATTCTAAGCTGCAGTCTAATGTCTGATCTTGTAAAAAATGTTTTCATGCTCATGATTGTTTTCCTTGCTTGTTCGACTGTTGATAGTATTTCTTTTTTTGGATTACACTGACCATTGATATTTGCTCCCAAATATTTTATGGAATTTACTTGTTATATCATTTGACACTTGGCATACACATGTACGTTTATTGGTGTCTTGGAAAATACTAAAGTTTTAGTTTTGGAAACGTTTAGATGTAAACCGAACTCTTCGCTGTGATGAACTACCGCATTTATTATATTTTGTAGTTCTTGTATGTTGCTTGCTATTAAGACAGTATCCTCAGCATATTTGATGTTGTTTATGCTGATTCCGTTAATCTTAATTCCGCCTTGGACTTGGTCTAATGGTTCTCTGAATATAGACTCCGAATACAAATTAAACTGTAGCGGTGATAAGACGCAACCCTGTCTCACTCCTCGTCAGATTTGTATATCTTTGGATGTTGTGTGCTCTATTTCAATTGTTGCCGTTTGGTGACAGTATAGTTCTAAGATAATTCGCAAGTCTTGTTCGTCAACTCCAGTTGTTCTCAGAATGTCGATCATCTTTTGATGGTTAACACAGTCAAATGCTTTTCGATGGTCAATAAAACATGGATATACATCTACATTCATGTCTCTACACCGTTGCGTTAACACATTTAAAACAAAAGGATCCTCTCGTGTTCTTAATCCGTTTCGAAATCCGAATTGAGTGTCACTCATCTGGAACTTGCACTTCTTGTAAATTCATGTATGGATAATTCTGAGAAAAGTTTTAAGGACATGAGACATCAACCTTAATATTCGATGTAAATATTTATAGAAACTCAACACAATTTTTCGTCCACAGCGTAAGCGTTTTTTATACTAAATTATAATTAATAACTCTTGCCGTACACATGGGCTACTACAGATCTATTTCGAAGTGTATATTAAGGTAGTTAAACGTCAGTAGAACGTAAATTAAACAAATATTATTTTAGGTAAAGCAGAAGAACCCCCAATTACCGAGGAAGAAATAGAAGATCCAACTTCAACAACTGCCAGCAATAAAATAGTGTTAGAAGCTTTTTTAAACAATTTACCTAATTGCGTAAACAGAGAAATGATCGACAATGCAGCAATAGATTTTCTGGTTACATTGAACAACAAACATAATCGTAAGAAATTGGTTCGTAGTTTGTTTGGAGTAAACCGCACCAGATTAGATCTGCTTCCGTTTTATGCACGGTTTGTTGCTATTTTGCATCCTGCAGTTCCTGAAGTAGGAAGCGAGCTATGTCAAATGTTACGACAGGATTTTAAGTATCATGTTAGGAAAAAAGATCAGATAAACATAGAATCGAAAATTAAAGTCGCTAGGTTTATAGGTAAGTCAATTTTCCTTTCAGTTTCTTTTAGTTTTTTGATATATGTAAATTATTTTGATGAAAAGATGAGCAATATAATGAAATATAACGTAAAATGATTGATGCATACAATTTTAAAGTTTCGGACACATTGGAAACTATTTTATTATGCAACTGTATGGCTTGAATATAAAGTATAGGTAAAAGTTTATGGTCGGTATGGACCTTACGTGAGATGGAGTGAGAAACACCTGTTTAAAAAGAGAGGTATATTAGGTCCGCCCTTTATATCGCCGAAAATGCATGAGTTAAAATAATAAAAAAGGGGAAGTTCAACGTTGCCAAACTTATTGGTTTCATTTGACCTGTTGTCTTTTTAGCATTTGATCAATGTTCTAAGATAATCAAATTTAATATAACATTTTGATTTCCACTTCGGAAATCGTTTTATATAAATAAAATTTATTAATGTTTCGTATTTTAAGTACGATTTCCGAATTAAAAATCTAAATTTCAAAATAAGCTTATTTTAAAGTCACATTGTGCCTTATTCCCAATAAAAATAATAAACTGCATATGACGTCACAATAAAAAGGCTTCATACAAAATTATTTGGCAACGTCTCGTCTCGCGTCGTCAAAGGTCAAAGCACCGAATCAAAATAGGGACAGTGGTAACGAGTAGATGTTGGTCGTTGTCGTTTTTATCGTTAACGAACTGAACAGTAGTTTCAAGTAAGAGAGTATCTACATAAACAAACATAATGGGCATTATCGTTTATCTGTATATTTATTGAAGTGAAAGAAACTAATGAAGGATATATTTATTAGAACTTGAAAAATAAACTAAACAATACAAATAGTAAATCGTACTTACATTTACATTACAAGTTATTATTAAATCGCGAATCGTCTAAATTGACATTTAAAAACATAAGTTTTTCTACTTTACTTCTTGTTAACCGTGTTCTTCTTTTATTTAAAATTAAACCAGATTTTGAACATGTATTCACATTTACAATATTTTATTAATATAGTGGTTGTTAGGATATACATGGCGATGGTTTTCCACCATTGTAATGGACTCTCGATATAGGTGAACGTTTAGATGAGTCATGTCCAATTAATTGATCAAAAATACACCATGGACTTAAGTCATCTTTATCGGTTTCTTTTTCTTGTACTGGTTGATTTTCAATAGTACAATCTTCTTGTTCTTTAAGTATAGAAGTAAACAGCTTCTTGACTCTTTCTTTTGTTTTTTTAGCTGAAGTTTTTTCATTTTTATCAGAAAATTCCTGCACTTTAAATCGTGAATCCATAAGTATACATAATGACAATGTGCCACTCTGTTCTATCGCTCTACATCTTTTTGCTAAACCCAATATTAGTAATTGTACTACGTCGGATACTATGGATGTAAGGTTACCGTTTGCTAAAATTTTATTGCAAGATTCGTGCAGGCAGCGTACCATAACTATCACTGAGCTACCCTTCAAGTATTTTTGGCCATTCATTGTACTTGTTATTTCTTAAAAAGGTCGTAAAATTTGTAAAAGTTGAGAACAAATAATCCAGTCTTCATTATTTAGATTTGGTCTAAGTCTGTCTTAACTAATACTAATGTGGAACGGATTGCCTCTTCTAACTCGGTCATTCTTTTTAACATGTAATAGGTGAAGTTCTACGTAGTTTCCACGTCTTGGATTGGTCGTTTGGGAACTCTGTTATGTTGTAGTTGATACTTTAAAAGCCTTTCTGAAGATAAGATACTTTTTTTGAAATGTGTTTTTTACCGAATTATCGAAAAAAAGACTTTTTATTTTTTCTATTTGTACACGATAGCATTTAAGTGCGTCTTCCACCAATAAATTTAACGTATGAACAAAACAATTTAAATGTTTTTATTCCAAAACATCTTTAATAGCTTTGACCATATTTGAGGCATTATCAGTTACTGCAAAATTTACTTTTCGTTTTAGACCCCGCTGATTAATAATTTTACTAATTTCAAAAGCGATGATTTCTGAATTATAGTTTACAGAAAAATGGCAGCAGCCTAATACAGTCATTTTAAATTCTAAATTTTCGGTTAAATATTGTCCTGTTAATGCCATGTAACTCTCAGTTACTCCAGATGTCCAGAGGTCAGTAGTAATACAGATATTTTCTACTTCTTTAACAACCTATGATCTAATAATTTGCTCAGTTTTGATATAATTTCCTCAGTTTTGATATAACATTCCTGAAGTAATGAACCTGACAAAGTTTTTCATATTGGCGGTTTATATCCATTACTCCACCCTGCATACTTTTTAAAACTCGTTCTTCAACTATGGAAAACGGATGAAACGAGTTTGCATAGGTTTAGTAAATCCATATATATATTTGTTTCTTTTGTTTTAAACTAATACTTTTATTAATGAAAGTATCCATCACCTTTTGACGCTTGGGTGGCAGTGGCAGTATGTCAGTACTTGTAGTAGAAGTAGTCGAAACCGACAGAAATGCGTCAGGAGAAGTTTGAATCATTGCGATATTCAGAAAGTGGCTGCATCTTCTACAAATGTGCATTTTTTGGTGGAAATTTTATTTCCACCTAGTTTGTTCGCTTTGATCACTACTCCGTCATCGCCAGGGGATTTGTAATTTGTAAATTAGTCGTTTTGATTTCGTATGTAGTTATTTCTCGCATTCATTCTGATCCCTGGTTTGTGATTTTGGGCAGGGAAAGGTTTATCTTGCCTTTCGCCAGTGCTCTCATACATTTCGCGATAAAAGGATTCGCCGTATTGACCGTGAGCGTATTTCGCCTCAAAACTTTTAAACTTTTGTTGTCTTGAATTATTTTAGTTATTTCTCTTGTATTGTTTTCTCTTACGTCTTTTCGGATTGATCGGTGGATATCTTTATTTCATTTTTCATTGTTGTGTAGTTGGAGTCCGTATTTTTCCGTCAGCTGTCTTTTTTACCTATTAGCTCTTTGGTATTTTGGCTTAGTTTTTCTGTATGGGTCAGAACGGTCGGGCTGAATTTATTTTAGAGCCTTCGTTATGCCATCATTTGCTTGATCTACATCTACCATTTCGTCTTGCAACGTGGTAACAGTATTCTTAAATATTGCACTCACACAATCCTTACTCCACATCGCCCTTATCTCTCCAACCCTTATCACAAACCCGGCTTCAAAAAGCCGCAATCCTCGAAGACTTTAACGCCAGACACAGTTTGGCGACACGGCGACAAGCCGTTAAATATTTTAAAATAAGTTTGAAAAAGTACCGTAATTTTAAGCTCATTCTTCTTCTTAGGTTGCCTGTCCATTCCGAACGTTGGCGATCATTCTGGCTATGATGATTTTGTTGGTTGCTATACGAAAGAGCTGTGTTGAGGTCTTTCTATACCATGCTTTTAGGTTAGCAAGCCAGGATATTCTTCTTCGTACTGGGCCTCTTTTCCTTCAATTTTACCCTGCAAAATGCATTGGAGTAGCCCGTATATGTCTTGATTTCTCATTATATGTCCCAAGTACTCCAGCTTACGGCTCTTCACGATGTTGGCCAAATCCGTGGTTGTGTTCATCCTCCGCAGTACTTCTTCATTGGTAACTTTGTCTGTCCATGGTATCTTCAGGATTCTTCTGTATAATTATAGCTCAAAAGCCAGAAGTTTTGATAGAGTTTCCGCCTTCAATGTCCACGTTTCTACTCCATACAGAAGCACTGAGTACACGTAACATTTCATCATCATCTTTGGTTCGACAATCCTCTGTGGATCTTGGCCTGCTCTAAGATTCGTCGCCATTCTGTTCGGTTTTTGGCAACATGTTGCCATCTTCTGATTTTTAATATTCTTAAGTCGGTTTCTACTCCATCTATCCACCTAATTCGTGGTCGGCCTTTGCTTCTTTTTCCTACAGGTGTTCCTGTGGTTAGCTTTTTAGCAATGGTATTTTCTGGCATTCGTATTATGTGTCCAGCCCATCTAAGTCGCTGTGTTTTATTGAACGTTATGACATCTGGCTCATCAAAGAGCTGATACAATTCAAAATTATATCTTCTGCGCCACTGCCCTTGGTCGTTTACAGCTCCAAATATTTTGTGGAGTATTTTACGCTCAAATATTCCCAAAAGTCTTTCATCTTTCTGCGTTAGAGTCCATGTTTCTGCTCCATATGTGTGGACCGGCCTCAGCAATGTTTTGTATATAATAATTTTAGTTTTTCTTTGAATGTTTCTTGAGTGGAACTGCTTTTGGAGTCAATAGTATGCCCTATTTGTAAGATTTATTCGTCTTTTGATTTCTTCGCTTGTTTTATTGGTAGCAGTCAATAGCGACCCAAGGTATGTGAAGTTGTCAACACGTCCAAAGGTATGACTTCCAAAGACTGTTTCTCGTTCCTCATTTGCTATCGGATCCTTTGTAACCAACATGTACTTGGTTTTGTCTTCGTTGATGACTAGACCGACCTGTTTCGCCGCTGTTTCCAATTCTAGGAGATATTGCTCAACATCTCGCTTGCTACGCCCTACTATGTCAATGTCATCAGCATATGCTAAGACTGTATCGATCTATTGTAAATAGTACCGCCATCCCTAATTCGTGTATCTCGGACTGCCTTTTCTAAGGCAATATTAAATAGGAGGCAAGCCAGAGCATCTTCTTGTCTGAGTCCATCCTTTATCTCAAAGGATCTAGAACTCTCTCCCTGTATTCTAACAGTAGCTTCTAAGTTAGACATTGTCATTCTCGTTAGTCGGATAAGTTTCTCTGGTATACCAAACTCGTGCATTGATTGGTATAGCACTGTTCTCTTGACACTGTCGTATGCGGCCTCGAAGTCGACGAATAGGTGATGGGTTTCAATATTGAATTCTAATGTTTTCTCGAGAATCTGTCTTATTGAATGAATCTGGTCAATTGTTGATTTTTCTGGAGTGAATCCAACTTGATATTTACCAATTATGCCCACTGTGTAAACTTGCAACCTTTCGTAGAAAATATTTGCTAGTATTTTGTAAGCAGTTGTTAACAGGGTTATACCTCTATAGTTGTCACACTGGAGCTGGTCACCTTTTTTATGTAACGGGCATATCACGCCTTGAGACCATTCACAAGGCATGGTCTCATTATGCCAAACAAGAAGTAAAAGCTTATGCAGTGTCTGTAGTAGGGCATCGCCACCATTCTTGTAGATTTGATCAACTCCTGGTGATTTATTATTTTTAAGCTTTTTAATGGCTTGGGCAACGTTTTCGATGGTAGGTGGTCTTTCGTTTGGATTGAAAGGATTCCAATCATTTCGATTTGCTAGGGTGTTATCTGCTTCTTCGATATGATGGCGATTAAATTTTGCATCGAAAAATTCAACCCATCTGTTTAGGATTGAGGCTGTATCATTTAGAATGTTTCCTTCTACATCCTTACAGCTCCTTATTCTTGGCTTAAACTCTTTGCGCATTTTGTTTAGATTTCTGTAGAACTTTCGAGTTTCATTTTGATTTCTTAGCCATTCTGTGCTTTCCAACTGCTTTTGCTCAAATTGTCTTTTTTTTCTTCTATGTAATCGTTTTTCTTCTCTTCTTAGTGTCCGGTATTCTTCCTTTGCTCTTCTTGTGCATCCAGCTTGATTTGTCTTTAGGTATGCCCTGTTTTTGTTATCTGTTGCTTCTTGGCACTCCTTGTCTGTCCATGGTATCTTCAGGATTCTTCTGTATAATCATAGCTCAAAAGCCTGAAGTTTTGATAGAGTTTCCGCCTTCAATGTCCACGTTTCTACTCCATACAGAAACATTGAGTACACGTAACATTTAAGGAGCCTTATTTTTGTTTTCAGGGTGAGGTCATGGCTCTTGAACACATAGCTCATAGTCAAGAATGCACTTTTGGCCCTTTCGAGGCGACATTTAATCTCTTGGGTATTGTCCTGCGACTCATTGATTATAGTTCCCAAGTAATTGTATTGTGAGACACGTTCAATTCTCATTTGGTTCACACACAGATTTGCTCCAATTATGTTTTTCTTGCTGATGATCATTAGCTTGGTTTTGGTGGTGTTTATATCCAGTCCATATGTTCTACTTGTTCATACTTAAGCTCATAAATAATTAAAATAACTCAGACTCAATAACGTGTAGGAAGTTAATTTTATTTATTCGCCATGTTGGAATCTTTACACGAATTTAAAAAAAAATATATTGTCTTACAACCCTTAAAACCGGAGTTAGTATTTTTTCAAAAATTCAGGGGGGACATATTATCATAATGTCATATTGTCCCTATTACCACGAGAAGTTAAAGTTTTCTGTGCATTTTTAGAAAAATTAGTACTAATTTTGAAAAAATCGACTTTTGAATCAGGGATCCTGATAAACGAGGGAAGAAGGAACCCCCAAACAACATTAAACAATCATCAAAAAATATGGTGATCTCCCACATTAAGATGTTTCCAAAGTAACAAAGCCATTATTCGAGAAAAGACAATTTCAATACTAAATACCTTCCTGGTGATTTTAATATTAGTAAGATGTATAATCTATATAAGGAATTTTGTAATGAACAACATGAAGAACGTGTAAAAGAATTATATTATCGATTTATCTTTAACACAGAGTTTAATTTGAAATTTAACAAGCCAAGTGATACATGTGTCGCCGTGACAATTTTCAGAATTTGATAAATTATTCTGACCTATTATTGACCAAAACATTAGATATTGAAAAACACAAAAATGTTGAGAATACTGTCGTTATTTGTTTCGATTTGCAACAGACATTGCCAACACCACTAGTAACTACGTCCAAGGTATTTTACCTTCGTCAACTATGAACGTGAAATTTTTGTATATACAACTTACTTATTGAACAAAGTCACATGTTTTTATGGAATGAAACAATTGCAGCAAGAGGTTCCCAGGAAATATGCGCATGTCTGATAAAATTTATCAGGTGTCTACCCCCAAGATAAGAAGGATAGTTGCATATAGTGACTCTTGTGGAGGGCAGAATAAAAACAAAAACATTTGCAAACTGTTCTCCTTCATTCTTCAAGGTACTCATATCACCGAAATCCATCACAAGATTCTGGAACCTGGTCACACCTATATGGAGTGTGATCGCAGTTTTGGTTTATTTGAAAAGAAGAAACGACAAATTACTCAAGTTTTTGTTCCAGCAGATTGGGAACGTGTTATTAAAAATCATTCTGAAAGTTTGTTTCAGAATGATTTTTACTCTCAGAAACGACAGAAGATTTTTACTCTTTTTCGATCCTACATGAAATAATGAAAGATCCTAAAAGGATTCCGTTGGTCAAAGAATACATATGCGCAGTATTTCCTGGTTGGCATATTTTAAGACAAGCACGGGAAAAGCACAAAGTGGACGTCCGGCTTTTCAGCTCTCCAAATTGAACCCTATTAATAACACGACGCTAACCATTAAGGATGCCAAATGTAAAAATCTGCTACTCCTTTTAACCTACATTCCCTTGTGTCACGACTCCTTTTACCGAAATTTGAAACATAGTGGAATATTCCAAAATTGGAATCAGCAGAATCGCTGCCAGCAGAGACGACGCCGATGGGAACAATGCCAAAGAAGTTTTCTTAGAGTCGGATTGCGAATGTTACTGTACTTGAAAGTTTACAAAATAAAGTTTAGTTGAATACTTAAAAAATGATTAGTAATGGCTAACAACTGCACTTAAACCTTTTTACCAGTAACATTTTTAAACACCATGACTCAATTAAAGTACATTTTTTCAATAATTGAAAAAAGGAAGGATATAGTAAGAGTAATAATATACCCTTGTATTTTTATCATTTTATAGAACATTCTATAGACATATTTTAGTTTCATTTTTTCCTAGAAATTTATAAAACGCAAACAACTTTGATGCTGATTACCTCCTCAATCTTACCTCCTCAATTATAAAAAATTAAGACTAAAAACTTTTATCAATTCGTAATGACCTTAGATTTAATCGCTAGTGAATTTGATTTATATTTAAGGACATATTTAATCTAATTTATAACAATGTTTTAGGGGAACTTGTAAAATTTAAATTATATTCTAAAATAGAAGCTCTCTACTGCCTGAAAGTTTTACTTCATGATTTTTCTCATCATCACATAGAAATGGCATGTAATTTGTTGGAAGTCTGCGGAAGATTCTTATACTGTAGTCCAGACTCTTACCAAAGAACTAAAGTGTATATAGAACAAATGATGAGAAAAAAGGCAGTTATGGCATTGGATTCGAGATACGTAACACAGATTGAAAATGCTTACTACTATGTTAATCCTCCTGAAGTCGTTACAATTACGAAAAAAGAGAGACCTGTGATGCATCAATTTATAAGAAAGTTACTCTATCAGGATTTACAGAAGAATAATACCGACAAAATTATGAGACTTATGAGAAAATTAGATTGGGCCAATCCAGAAATCGCTGCTTATGCTGTAAAATGTTTGACAGGTGCTCATAATCTTAAATATTTCAATATTAGGTAAGTTTTTATATTTTATTTTTCAAAACATCATTTATTACCATAGTTAAGCATCAAAAATGTAGACATCATTGCCAGGTTGTGATCATAGATAATGCAGTTTCTAACTTCTATATTAATAATTCACATACAGTCAAATAGTCATAGTAGAATACCGGATTTGTTAAAGTATCTCATAAAATATGACAACTTCTTCTTCACGTGCCATCTCCTCTAAGAAGGTTGGCAACCATCATGTCAATTCGCACTTTCGACGCCGCTGCTCTAAAGAGGTCAGCAGAAGTGCAGTTAAACCAAGCTCTCAAATTATTTAACCAGGAGATGCGTCTTTTTCCGCGACTCCTTCTACCCTGTATTCTTCCTTGCATTATTAATTGCAACAAGTTATAACGCTCGTCCCTCATAACATGTCCCAGATATTGCAGTTTTCTGACTTTAACTGTATTTAAGACCTCTTTATCTTTACCCATTCTTCTCAACACCTCGACATTCGCGACTCTATCTACCCAACTTATTCTTAATATCCTTCTGTAGGCCCATAACTCGAAGGTTTCCAATTTGTCCGAAACATCTTTCTTTAAAGTCCAAGCCTCCAACCCATAAAATAATACGGAGAACACGTAGCATCTCAGAAGTCTTATTTTTAAAGAAATTGAAAGGTACCTGCTGCAGAGTACTTTTTTCAGTTTGTTGAAAGAATTTCTTGCCTTCATCTCTTCTGTTTACTCATTATTTTCATTAATTATTGTACCCAGATATTTATATTTTTCAACTATTTTAGTGTGTTCTCCATGTATTGTTATGCTTTCTTGGCGCTGTTGGGCTTTTGTAATTACCATAAATTGTGTCTTTTTTGTGTTTAGGGAAGTCCGTTTTCTTCACTGACTTTTACCACTCTGTCCACCATTTGTTGTAAATCCTCAAGACATTCCGGTAATAAAATAGTGTCGTCGGCAAACCGTATATTATTGATTGGTCGGCCATTTACTTTTATTCCCATAGTTAGTTCTTCTATTGCTTCCTGGATTATTTCCTCTGAAAACAAATTAAACAAAGTAGGATACAGGACACAGCCCTGCCTCACGCCTCTCTCAATCTGTATTTCATTTGAAAAGATGTTGTTCTCTTTTACCACAGCGATCTGATTATAATAGATAGCGCTAATGATCCTGATGTCTCTTATATCTAAGTTTTTCTTTTCAAGTAATTCGATAAGACGGTTATGTCTGACCTTATCGAAGGCTTTGTTGTAATCCAAAAAACACATATATATTGGCTGATTAACATCCATGCACCTTTGCACAAGTACATTCACAGAAAACAGGGCTTCCCTCGTTCCCAGTGCATTTCTAAATCCAAATTGTGTGTCACTTATGTCCTGCTCAAGTTTGTTGTGTATTCTCCGGTGTATAATTTTTAAAAATATTTTAAGCGTATGGCTCATTAAACTTATTATCCGGTGGTCTTGGCATTATTTTGCATTTGGTTTTTTTGGTAGTGCTATAAATGTTGATATTAGCCAATCTCTGGGAATGATTCCTGTACTGTATATTGTATTAAATAAGTCGACCAATATTCCAATTTGCTGTTCTTTTATTAACCGTATTATGTCTACAGGTATTTCGTCAGGACCTGTTGCCTTGTTTTTATTTGTTCGCTTTATCGCCTTTAATACCTCATCTTCTGTTATGTCTGGGCCGTTGTCGAACTTTTCCTGCTTTAGTACTATCTCAGTCCGTTTATCTTTAAATAGCTCTTGAATATATTCCTGCCATCTTTTAAGTCTTTCACCGACGTCTATAATTATTTTGCCGTTTTTATCCAGCAGTATGTTTGATTTTTTCTTAATATTCTTCTTCTTCTTCAAGTTCCACTCCTATCGGAGATTGGAAATCATTCTGGCAATTACAATTTTATTGGTTACTCGCCTGAATAGTTCAATTGAACTGCATCCAAACCACTCACGGAGATTGCGTAGCCACGAGATTTTACGTCTTCCTACGCTTCTTCTACCTTTGATTTTACCCTGCATTATATTCCTTAGTAGTTCGTACTTTTCACCTCTCATGATGTGCCCCAAGTATTCCAATTTCCTGATCTTTATGGAATTTAAAACTTCGCATTGTTTTCCTAGTTGTTCGAGAACTTGTTCGTTTGTTTTGCGATCCATCCATGATATTTTCAAAATGCGTCGGTAACACCACATTTCGAATGCTTCTAGGTTTTTAATGTTGGATTTTTTAAGTGTCCAAGCTTCAACTCCATATAAAAGGGTAGAGAAAATATAACATCGAAGCATTCTTATCCGGAGCGATATATTGATATCGCGATTACAAAAAAGTTTTCTCATTCTATTAAAAGTTGTCCGCGCAATTTCAATGCGGCATCTTATTTCTTTTGTCTGATCAGTATCTTCTGTGATCCATGCTCCAAGGTATTTTTACGAAGATATTTGTTCAATTTCTCTATTATCTAGTACTAGCTTAACTTTGATGTTTTGTGCTTTTGTAAATACCATGAACTTGGTTTTCTTCAAATTGATTTTTAGTCCATAATCGTTGCAATATATATTTAGTTGTTCAGCAAGGTGTTGCAGTTCTTCTAGTGTTCCTGCCAAAAGGACGGTGTCGTCAGCATATCTTATGTTATTAAGTGGCTCACCGTTTATTATAATGCCCTCACTGATCTCGGCAAGCGCTAATTCTGAGATGGCTTCACTGTATAAATTAAATAACAAGGGTGATAAAATACACCCTTGGCGGACCCCACGGCGAATCTGGATATCCTTGGTCAGTTCGTTTTCAACTTTCACTTTTGCTGTTTGATTCCAATAGAGGTTACAGATGATTCTAATGTCTCTACTGTCTATGTTTTTATTTAATAAAATTTCTTTAAGTCGATTATGCTGCACTCTGTCAAATGCCTTCTCAAAATCAATGAAACAGGCATATACTTCCTGATTAATATCTAAGCATCTCTGCGAAAGAACACTTACTGCAAACAGTGCATCTCGTGTTCCCAGTCCTTTCCTAAATCCCATTTGTGTATTACTTATGCCTTCATCTAATTTCTTATGTATTCTATTGTGAATTACTTTTAAAAACAATTTCAAGACATGACTCATTAAGGCTATGGTGCGATGTTCATTGCACTCCTTTGCATTGGCTTTTTTGGGAAGCAGTATGAATGTTGATTCGAGCCATTCTTTAGGTATTATACCTGTTCTATATATGGTATTGAATAGATCCAAAAGAAGATCAATAGATTCAGTATTCACAATTTTAAGTAATTCGATAGAAACTTCATCAGGCCCGGGAGATTTACCATCTTTAGCTTGTTTCATTGCATATTCAATTTCTTCTCGTATAATGTCAGGCCCAGTATCATCCTTAAATTCTTTTGGTGCTTCTGTTCTCTCTTTGTTTTCAAATAGTTGTGCTATATATTGTGTCCATCTCTGCATTTTTTGGTTTATATCTGTTATAAGTGCACCCCTTTCATCTCTTAGTTGCCTAGTTTGAAGTGTTTTTCTCATTCCTGTTAATTCTCTAATTCTTTTATGCATGTTAAAAAAGTCATATTTTTTCTCAATTTCTTCTAGTTCTTGGCACTGCTCATGTAACATTCTCTCCTTAGCTTCTTTTATTCTCTTTTTTATTAATCGATCAGTTTCATTATATTTAATTGGATTTTTTGTTTTGAATAATTTTCTTTCATTCATTAATAGTAGTATTTCTTCAGTCATCCAATCTTTATGTTTTCTATTCTTTGGTTTTAATTTTTGATTTGCTGTTTTAATTATTGCTGCTTTTATATTTTCCCATTTCTGATCAATGTTATAGCTACTTTTATTCAGTTCTTGGGCATTACGTATATTTTCAGTAAGAGTTTTTACAGTTTGTTCCTTTGTTTGTGGTTCCCTTAATCTCTTAATATCAATTCTACTTTGTGTGGGTTTTTTAACCAGTTTTAATTTGGTTCGTAATATGACTACTATGGGGTTATGGTCTGAACCGATGTGTGCTCCAGGGTAAGTTTTGGCAGACAGTATAGAATTACGAAATCTTTGTCTAATAAGGACAAAGTCATTTTGATTTCGGATTATTCTATTCGTTGTATCACCGGGAGATTTCCACGTGTACAACCTTCTTTTTGGTAGCTTAAAAAGTGTATTAGCTATTACAAATTCTTCCGTCTGGCAAAATTGTATCAAACGGTCACCACGTTCATTTCTATTTCCTAGACCATATTCCCCCACATATCCATCCACTCTTCCCTGGCCAACTTTGGCATTGAAGTCGCCCATTACTATTGTAGTGTGATGTTTTTTCATTGATTTTAAGACTTGTTCCAAATCATGGTAAAACAGTTCGACACCGTCGTCATCTTTATCTGTCGTAGGAGCATAAACTTGAATAAAATTTACTATACCTTTTTTAGACTGTAGTTGTATTGATAAGATCCTATCAGAATAAGGAGTAAAACTTACCACAGAGTAATTGACCTTTTTTTGCAACTAAGATAGCAACACCGTAACGATGATTGACCTCGTTGTTACCTGAATAATACATGGTTCCATTATTTGTAATTTGTTTACCTGAACCTGCCCACTGTACGTCACTTATACCTAAAACATCGATTTGGAGGTTTTCCATTTCAAGCAGTACGTTCGCTAATTTACCACTTTCTTAATATTAGTACCTGTTATTTCCCTAATTTTTTTATGAAGGTTTAAGTTATCATGTTTCTCCATCAACTATTCAATCTCTTCGCATCTGTCACTATACCATCTTTCCTTTGCATCTCTGATCTTTCTCCTTATTTCTGTGTGTATAATATTATACATGTTTTTGTCTTTGGTTTTATAGGATCTTCTTGCTTCCATGAGATCCAGAATCTCATCGGTCATCCATTCATTTTTGTTCTTGATCAGCTTAGGTGTTAGTGTTGTCTCACATGTGCGTATAAGAGCATCTTTTAATATATGCCATTTCCTGTTC